CCCATTATTGTTTTTTTTTTTCCAACAACTGCTATTATTTGTATAATTTTCTCGCAAATATTCGAACAACATAACTAACAGTAGATGTTTATGAATTTTACATATCAAATAAGTCATCAATTGAAAATTTGACAATTAACTTTGTTTATAAGTTGGTAATGCTTGCAGAGAAAATGATTGGGTTATAATCGCTTGAATTGCCAATTGGGTTGCCTGCATTTTTTCTTTTCTTTGAAGGAAATTAATGGTAATACGGTATTATGTTTCAAGCTGAAATGCATTAGCATTTTCGCGAAGTGGAACGCGCCAGTCGTTGGGACGGGACGGAAAGTAATGGCCGGTAATAAGATTCAAGTGAATGAAAAATGATAATTTCCCGGGATTAGGAGGAAATGGAATAAGAGAGTGCGAGTGTTATTGAGATAATCCACTTCTGACCCGAATGCGATTGCCGTGTAAGCTTCCCTCCCTCCCTCTTTCCATTTTCCGGCTCACTTGTTATTTCTCCATGGTAACTATTCGTGCACGAGTACCAACTATAAATATCGAGATTATCCGCGGGTCGCGACCACACGACACGGATAATCGCGATTTTCTCTCTCACTCCACCGCACGTACGTCAAAAATGAAAATGCGGAAAATGTATGTAGGGAGGAAAGAGAAAAAGAAAAGTAACGGCGTTAAGTGCGAATGAGAAATGTATGTGCGGAGCGCATTTAGCGTTAAGAGAAAAGCCTCGTACGGTGTCGACGATGAATAATATTCACATGCATTTTCCACAAACCCAGAACAACCGCACATTTCCAACCATAAAACTCATAGTTTTCTTTATGAATTTTTCCCACGACAAACACACAAAAATCACATATTCAACATACGCTGCAATTACCATAATTGTTTGCATTTGTTTAATTTCATCAAATTTCCATTTAATTGGGTTGCCTAAACATTATTGAATTTGATGATAATTTGGTTGCCTATTTCAAGTAATGCAACGATGCTGTGATTAATTATTTTGTAAATGTATTTACTGGATTGTTTTACTTTTTTTTCTTTTTTTTTTGGTAAACATCAATAGAAATGGACGTCTGCACGGCGAGTGATTGCTTTTATGCGCTCGTCACGCTTTCATTACCGCAACAAAGGGACCGAATGAGACGTTGCTATGATGTAACCATGGTTATTATATTGAGAATAGTCCATCATCGTGCGCGTCGTTAATGGGCGGAATGCGGGGCGCGTCATTAGCTCCGCGTTCTGCGGAGGAGGAAGCGATTAATTACGCAACAAAATTACGTCTCCACAAAGTAAACACCGCAAAGAACAAGATAATCCAAAAAAAAAGGGGGAAAATACAATTATTTATAATTAATATCAACTTATCATTATAGGTGTTTCCATGGTAACAAATGAAAATGTGTACGTTTTGGTCACTGGAGCAAGGATGATGCGATTAAAAGAATGTCTTTGAAGCGAAACAAACGAAATGGCCGTGTTTTTAACGAAATAATTTATATAGTTCGGAGTGGGAAAACAGAGGGCGCCACCGCTCGTTCCCCTTTATTTTTTGTTTCACATCAAAGTGATTTAATTTTATTTTCCTTTTCGTTGCATAACTAACCTTAAAAGTAAATACACGTAAATTCGCGCAAGTTTAAGTTTGTTTCATTCTACTTTGTTTCCCGTTTATTTATTTTTTTTGTTTACCAGAATTATTCGCGCTTGTAAAATACTTTAATCCTCCACCGGGAAAACTCGCCTCTCGCATCATAATCCGTGCATTCTTCTAATTCTTCTTCTCAGTCCGGACGACGAGCGCCATCTATCCTCGTGTTTTTTTTTTTTCGTTTATTTCATCCTTCACCTTTCCTATATTTTATTTTGTTTGCTACTGAAAACCCTGTGGAAATTCTCTGCGAAATATTAACGGGCAGAAAGAAAATTGAATGCTAGTGTGTGTGTGTTTATAAACGTGAAGATATAAACTTTAAGTATCTTTTTTTTTTCCACTCCGACAAAGACTTTGGAAAATGCTTTATGTTTTCGCTGATCCCCGCAGAATGAAAACGGCTTTCTCTACAAAAAAAATAAAATATATAACAAAGCGAAGGATTACACGCTCGTTTCTTATTTTTTTAGTTACCAGTTCACGTATAGATGGAAACATTATTATTTGTTTTAAACTTATGCAACCAAATTTGCAATTCACCAACTTTTATTTGTTGCATTTGTAGAAAACAATTGCCATTAGCTATGATTTAAGTGCACGAGTTCTTTCTTGACCGAATCTCGTGATTTAACATCTTCAACCGTCCGCCACAGCCGTATGCATGTATTCGGTCCATCTCTTACCTACTTTCTACACGTTTTCCGGCTTCCAGAGTGAATGAAATGTTTTGAAATTCAAATTCGACCAATCGAAGATTGGAAGAGAGAGAGAAGTTACGTTGAATGGCTTCGCAGGATTTCACGGTTCGTTAAAGCCCAACACTCCATCTCTATTTTCGACGCAGAACTATTCCACTTTATCACTTCCGGTCGCCCGAATTTATTTATTTCCATTTGCGAATCAATCTTTCTCCTCCTTTTTTTGCTTCTTCTACTTTTTGTTCATTGGTCGAAGCTTCGAAGAAAATGGGGGAAAACGTATTGCATTTTATTTTTTGATGTTGGTAGAATGAGGACGATATGTGATGTGCGGTTGGAGGATTCCGGGAATTTCCACCCATTCATCTCTCGAGCATTTCCGGTTGCATATTTACGCTCGAATGCATTACCATACATAATATTATGATTATTATTTATGTGCAAGCGGCCGCATTCCATAAATTTCGAGAGAGCAAGCAAATATTTACTTTTTTCATCGAATTCCACACAAATTAAGGCATTCTTTCAAAAAAATTGATAAATAATTAATTCCAGTTCTGTAGGCAACTTAAAATGCATTAAATACAATATAGGCAATTCATTAATCAATATTGGCAGTTTACAAATTCAGTTGTTACATAATCGGATCGTTGCCATAACAATTTGATAAGAGCGTTGTTCTTGTTGTTTGCTTCAATAACAAGATACGGAGTGGAAAAACAAGATACGAAGCAGGCCATGAAGGGAGATAATAGAATTTTTAGGGTTGGGGGGGGGGTTGTAAAAGATAAAGCAAACGACTCTGGAGAAAAGTCGCTTCATTATGCGAAAGAACAACAAATTTCGTGCGGTGGATGAAGAAAGGTTGAGCGTTTTGCGGATGGCGAGAGTGAAATATGCGCTCAACGACCAAACAATGCTGTGGGAAGGGACGAAATAAAGCGGCGCCGCACGTTTTAATTGCGTTATGTAATATGACGAAACAATAAAACTAGAGGAGACAAAGACGAAATAGAGAAAAAGAGCATTTTAATTTCCGCAAAGCTTGAAAGGCAAAGGTAATTTCGCAAAAGAAATGTAAGCAACGCAGATTTTTTTTATTTCGTTTGTGTTGGTATTAAAACTTTGGTTTTCATTGTTGTTTTTTTTTTAAGTTGGGAACTAATTTTTATTAAAGAAATAATTTTCTGTTGTTGTGCATTTAACAAGAGATGGAGTGATTTTAAATTATTTTTTATGTAGACTTCTTTCCATGCTTCAAGATATTCAAACAACAAGAAATTCTATTTCAATTTATTTTAAATCATTCTACATGCGTATTCAATATTTTAATTACATTACGTTCATAAATCAAACTAATTATGTATGCCATCTAATGCAATTACAGTAAACTGAATGACCCATTTCGACGTGACAGTATAATGAATTGCATAACTATCCATGAACTCGTCGAATTCTATTGAAATATCGTTGAACGATAAATTTAACAAATTTACTTTAGTTGAACGTTAACAATTTCCTTTTTTAACACAGCTTAAAGCAATGTTAGTTTAAATTTGACGTTTAATTTGTATATTTAGTTGCATAATAATCAATAGTTTTGAATAGAAATGGACTTTGATTTGAGATTTAACATTTGCCTATTACTATATTTCTTTAATAAATTTAAATGCATAACTATCCATGAACCCGTCGAATTCTATTGAAATATCGTTGAACGATAAATTTAACAAATGTACTTTAGTTAAACATTAACAATTTCCTTTATTAACACAGCTTAAAGCAATGTTAGTTTAAATTTGACGTTTAATTTGTATATTTAGTTGCATAATAATCAATAATTTTGAATAGAAATGGACTTTGGTTTGAGATTTAACATTTGCCTGTTTCTATATTTCTTTAATAAATTTAAATGCATAACTATCAATGAACTCGTCCAATTCTATTGAAATATTGTTCAACGATAAATTTAACAAATTTACTTTAGTAGAACGTTAACAATTTCTTTTATTAACACAGCTTAAAACAATATTAGTTTAAATTTGACGTTTAATTTGTATATTTAGTTGCATAATAATCAATAATTTTGAATAGTAATGGACTTTGATTTGAGATTTTAAATTTGCCTGTTTCTATATTTCTTTAACAAATTTAAATGCAGATGTCGCGATAAAAGTGTTAAGGTTACTTTTTTTTTTAATTTAAGTGCATGTATATCTGGTTGTATGTATGTAAGTATTATGTATGCATTCTATTATACAATGATGCGAGATGTGTTGACTGTGCATATTTGGAGCAGCGGCGAGAGAGGTCCTCTCCGGATGCTTTTTAGCCAAGAATCAGATGCGCGTCTGCCGCCACCCTTTCGCAAACCGTAAACCACCACCACTACCACCGCCGCCGCCGCCTCCGTCAACCCCCGCCGCGTTCGGTGCCTCTCCCCACCCCCGCGGCAAACCGTCCACGCACCCCCCACCACACGAGACACCGCCCCCATTTCCTGCATCCCTCTCTCTCCAACACGCGCGTTCTAAGCGCGATTTCCTACCATAAACCCCCCCCCCACCCCACCGCTCCTACCGTCGTCGACGCAGCGCACGGGGTCGGTGGCGCAGGCGTCGCGACGGGGGGCGTCCCGTGACGTCACAGCCGTTGCGGAACAAAACGGAGGCGGCAGCCGGCAGCAGTCCGACATCTAGTGCGACCCTGTCGAGATATGAACATATTAGGTAAGGCACTCTGAAAGCAAAACAAAAGTATAGAAAACAACTAAAAAGAAAAAAACAAGAGCAACCAACCAAAGAAAATCAAAAAAAAAAAAAAAAGTATAGAATATATATATAGAGAAAGCAAAGTTTACAACCTCCACTACTACCACAACTAAGAACAAGAAGCGCCAGTGTGATCATCAACGTCCTCAGTAATCGTTCCCTCGTTGTCGCTCCCGCATCGTCGAGTTTGAGTCTGCCCTTTTGGAACCTTGCGGTACGACTTGGATTTTTTTTTTTTTTTATATAATAACCTACATACACATCTGTAATATCTATAAATAATTTCTTTTATATATAAGACATTCACTTTAAAACAAACGAAATCGAATCGAAATTTTCTTTTGTTTCTTCTGTGCTGCATGCGTGTCTTCAAAGAAAACTTCTATTTTTCTCTCTAAAATCTCTCTCTCTTTCTCTCTATTAATCTATATCTACATCTTTGTTTTTCTTCCCTCTTTACTAACAATTTCCAACTAAAGTCTTCTCGTGCGTGCATGTTTAACTGTTTGTTGTTGCTGTATCGTTTGTTGCCTATACGTGTTGTATTTGTTTTATTTCCCAATAACTAATTGTACTTGTTTATTCATAGATGGCGTCTAGATTATTAGTGTTCAGTGTATGTGTGTGTGTGTTCAAATCCGGAGCGGTAATCCCCGTAAAACTTCTCGTCTTTCTTATTTTTCCATATCCCGTTTTTGTTCTTCTCTTTACACGAGTAATCTTCGCTCTCTGACGTTCATTAGTCTCTAAAAGAAGGTCGTGTAGTGTGCAAAGAGAAAAAAACTACTACTACTAATAATAATAATATGACTGCTACCATTACCAGACGAGACGAGGTTTTATACCTCTCTTTCTGAGCGCGTCGCAGACTCGTGGTAGTTCTACTTCTTCATCATCTTCAAACGCCACTCGAGGGACGTGTGCGGAGGAGACCGTGTCGAGTAGCTCTCCAAAGCCCCCTCGTAATTTTTCCATCAACTAGGGACTCGGTTATTTTTTTCTCTCTCATCTTCATCTCCCGTCCGCTCAACAAAAATTTTTGTTACTTAGTCCACCATAATAGCATCCAACTGTAATAGAAAACGTCATATTACTTACATAATTTTTAAATGTAAATTACACGAATCGTGTCCTGATTTTCCCAATCTTGCTCAGTATTGATTTCAACTTCAATTTTATTAACAATTTCCAAGTGGTTATGCAACGCACACACAAATATGTGCAATTGCAGTCGAATATCATTATGCAACTTAATATACAAATTTATTGTAATCATATAAATGCAATATCGGTTGCATGCAATACGTTAAGCAATTTCACCATGATTACCTGAAGTGTTCTTCGATTAAATTGCAGTTCGTGTTCTCGATCATCAGAGGCGTTCTAATCATAATTTGAGTGTAATTCACTTATAATCAGAATTTCTTGTAATTTTCTAAATTAATACAATTTCCTTTCTTTCCAAGAAAACTAAAATTTCCACGTAATATTTACGTTTGACACTTGCTTTGAACTCCACCCTTTGCTATTCAATATCTGTAGTAAATTCCCTGAAAATCTTTTACTATAAAGTTCATGTCCGCAATTTGCTCTCCGCTGATTACAGGCTGCAGAAGTTCGCTCTTATTTTGCCACGAGAAACCAACCCCTGTTCTCTTTTCATCCCCATTTATTCTATTTATTTGTTGCTGCAAACTCCAGTGCTGTGTGTATTTATGTGTGCGCGCTCTCTCACTTCACCACTTGAATCAGTGTAAATCCTTTTGTTGTCTCGCAGTAAATATCTGTCTGTATCCTAATGGCCTTTCTCTGTATATGTGTCTGTATATGTGCGTACAGACCCGCAGACCACCTGCAAGTTGCTTGGGCAATTAATCCCTTGCTTCGTGTTTAATTTCGCCGTCGGTCGAAAGTTCAAACTCGCCAAACTAATTTCCACTTCGACAATTAACAACTCAACATTTCATAATATATTAATATTTCCAATAAAATATGAATCTTCTACTTTCTAAAAATACGAAATCGAAAAAATCGGTGAAAAATCGAAGCTATAACGGGAATAAACTATGTGTTTCTATGAAAATCCACCGGATGGCGTTAGTAAAATGTTATCTGTTTTAGATAAAAATAATTCTATTAATTTCTATATACTTAACCTATTACTGTGATCGATTAATTTTTTTGATTTTATAACCGGAAGTGCTTCAAAAATGTCAATTTCTTACTCAAATTTTAACTAAATTATTACGTTTTACTCTGTACTTACATGTCTGTTATCTACTGCAGACGTAAACAGGGGTCGTTGAACTAAGCACTCTCTTAAGATTGAGTTCCAATTTCCTTGGAGGGTTGCATTTCCATGAAAACTGAAAAAAAAATATATATGAAACAACTTGCATGACTCGCTCTAAAAATAAATATTTTATTAATATTAAGCCTTCGGTCACGCGACGTTCTTCCGACGGTTTTTCTCCTCTACCACCACCCCTTCATGTCGCGTTTTACAACGTCGTCGTTATTATAATTCCCTCTCTTTGAATATGCAAAGCGGGATAAGTTTCCCCGAGTTTATTCACCCGCACACGAAGACTAAAAAAAAAATGAAAATAAAAATTACAATTATGGAAACGCGATTTTTTCCTGATTGGAAAACTGTGGTAGGCTTCTCCATATCTCGCATTTTCCTCTTTCACTTTACTTTTCTGTGAACCACCACATCAAACATATTTTTCCCATTTTCTTTGGGTCTTTATTGCCGACGACGTTCGCGTCACAGAAAATATGACAAATTGCTGCCGGCGAAAAATGATGCATACTCCAGCAATTTTCCATTTCTCTGTTTCTCTGTTTCTCGCATTTTCGCATATTTTTCGATACGCCTGGAAAAATGCATAAACGCCAAATAGAATTACATCCCAAGAAGAGGAATTCAATTTATTAGAAATATACGTGCCATTCTTTATTTTTTTCTTTTTTCTCGCATATAAAAGACTTTGGTAATTGGAGCAACCGACGCATCCACCACGTATGTGGGTCACACACCACGCCAACCCAACAATCAACGCTGCGCCCGCGGTTGCATATAAATACCGGCTTTAATTCACGTTATTATCGTTACCATGATTTTAATATTATCCTCCGTTATTATCGCCGTCATTTGTACGTAATATAAAATATATTGTGTGTCCTTTTTTTTTTTTGTACAAAGCTATAGTTATCTGCAGTTTCGACTCACATTACAGAAACTCATTACGCTTAATTGTGTGCAAGCATAAAGAATATGAATTATAGTTTATATTTATCACCATTCCCATTGAAAATAACACTTTTATAGCGTAATTTTTCACAAACTTGATTAACATTCATTTTTAAGCTTTCAAAAACGAAATTAAAGTATGAAATATTTAAATAAATTAAATTTTAGTGCATAATTAACTTTATTTTATATTGTAATAAACGAAATTAAAAAAAATGCTTAAAAAACGGAGTAATTTGAGGATTTCTAACTTTAGTTCGTGAAAATCCACCGGATGGCGTTATTAAAATATCAATTGTTTTTAATGAAATTTATCGGATTTTTTAAAGCTCCATCTGTAACTTAAAGTGACCATTGGATTTCTTCGAAATCCAAGCGGAAGTGCTTCAAATTAAGCGATTTCATGTATTTTTTTAACTGATTTCGCGGACACTACTCTCTCTCTCTCTCTCTCTAACGAAGTGCCAAGTGCAGAGATCCCTTCTTTATCGGATATCCCAATCTCCGGACTTCGGTTCGCGACACAAAGGGAGCATCTGGCCTCGCGCCGTTAAGTGCCCTTTGAAATCCAACAGATCTAATTACGTTATGACGGAGTGGAAATCACATTTCAGTGTTCTGGCGCTGAAGTGTCGCACAGATCTATATCTATATACCAAAAGCCCTTTCCGTGGGGAGTTTTGGCACGCGTAATCGAATTATAGTTCGTATCTTTACATTCATTATATCAGAAAAAACTGTTACGATAAAATGAAAAGACGTTTGTTTTAAAAGCGATCGCGCAGAGATTTACGTCTTCGCCCCAATATTGTCCTGGCACCGGTCCAAACTGAAAGAACAAAAAGATTGGATATAAATCAAACGAAATTCATCTTGGAAACGCGTTTGGTGGATGTGAAACATTTGAAAAAAACAAAATCTAATGGAGAATCAATGCTGTCACATAGGCAACCAGACTTTCGTTCCGCAAATATGAATTTAATTTAACTTTCGTTTAATAAAACGACTCGTCGTTCCGCGCACAACTTTCGCAATTAAATCGGCGTCTCTTTCATTCCTCTCCTCTGTCGGCACTCGCTGTTTATTAATTATGTAATTATGTGACTTGCGAGGAACGGGTAAATATTTGCAGCGCACGTTTCAATTCTCGAGAAAACGTACGTCCTCTCTTGCACTCACTATGTACTTAATATTTGGAGTTTCGTGTATGAGTCGAGGGTTACGCAAACCATTAGCGACATCTATATTTTTTTTCTTTAACCAAACGACTACGAAGATGATGGCGATGATAAAGTCTAATGCAGCCATCATCTTCCACTTTCGGCGCTGAAAGCATCTTCCCCCTTTTGGAAATTATGTCAATAAGTGCACCTAATTGACCGGCAAAAAAATGCGATTAGGGCTGCAACCCATCGCACGCATCATTTGATCGCAAAGACATCTAAATTCGATAAACAATTACGTCAATTTATGCAACCAAAAGTTCAAATCAATTTATAAATTATGCAACTGAATTTACTTGATATTCCAACGTTAATGATTTTCTTGCAACGTTACTCACTGTTTTTTTTTTTAGGGAAAGGTCGTAAATCGTGACCTGCTGCTGTTTATTTGCGTTTTGTTCAATTATGCCGAAGCGTAGAAGTAATTGCGACTGTCGTGGAAAGAGGGGGGCTGAAAATAATTACAGTAACGAACCGTAATTTGTTTGCACTCATATTGGTGTAACTGCCTCTGTGAATATTTTAAGCTTCGAATGAAAATTTGATCTGCGATCGATATTTACTCAATTTTCGCGCATTCATAAACCAATTATTTAAACCGTCCGTCCATCTGCGGATCGATGCTCTTCGGAACCAATTACACAAAACTAATTGCGAACGAAAAAAATAAATATATTCGATTTGTTTTTGTTAATTGTCACTTTTCCAATGAAACAATTGAATTGAAACAGTCGTGATTAACGATAATCAAAATGGCGTAAACCTATTGACATTTCGCGTAATGCGCCATATTGTTAATAAAAATTTCTATTTAACTTTTAATAATTAATTAATTAAAAAACTTGAGAAAGAAATGCATTTCATTCAATAGAATAATCTCGTTGCGTTGCTTACGCGCTCTAATTAATCCGTTTAACGTGAATACGAGCTCCGCTAATTAATGACGTTTACTTACTTTAGGTTAGTTTTTTGTTTTCGCCCGTCATTGTGGCGTAATCCTTTCATCGTACGTTTTTTTTTTTGTTTTTTTTTGTTTTGTTGCCTAATCCCAGAGGGCGCGCTATAATTAATGACAGATTCAAACGGATTTCAATTGTTTCGTGTTTTTCGTAATTCTAAATGAAGTATTATTATTATTATTATTAATTAAACGTTGCGACGGATTTTTTTTAGCTTTGCGAAGGGTTAAAAGGGATTTTCGGGAGAGTCTGAAATTAAAGTGGTTTTCGTGGTCTAAACCGCACACACATGAGAGAGAGAGAGAGAGTGGAAATGCGGTTAGAAGTTCCGAAAGGGTTGGCAGGTTCTTCATTACAACAGAAACTCTCTCTTTTTGATGAATACAATTTTGTGAGACTTTCCACTTTATTTCCTTCAACATTCTTCTATTTTTTTCTTCTTCGTTCTACTAGAAAACTAAAACTAAAACGGTTAATATCTGCTGGGTATAATCAATTGTTTTTTTTTTCTTTTCTTTTTGCTACTTCCGTTTTGCGAGTATCGAATTCCCCGATGAGAGAGAGCGGAATTGAATTTTATCGGAGATTCTTCGGTTTCGCGAATGAGAGGAGAAAAAAAAATAAAGCAAGCGCTGCAGCGAAACCGGAGATGTAGTTAATAATGGTCGGTTTTTTTCTTCTTTCTTTACTGTTTGCCCTTCCGATTTGCCAATTCCTTTATTTACTATTCTTCTCGTTGCCACGGCTACAGCTTTATTAGATCTGTCAACAATCGGTAACTTTACAATTGACATATCTGTCGCTTTTGTGATTGCTGCAACCAGAGTTGCATTATCAGATGACGTTTGATTGGATGTAATTGATTACGTTTTTGTTTTGTTTGCGTGATTTCAGGGGCGGTTGGCGGAGACGATGATGGTGACGATAAGGAGAAGGAGGAGGAGGCCGAGAGGGAGCGTCTGGAAGCCATCCGCGAGGCCGAAGAGAGGAGGAAGGAGAAGCACAGAAAGATGGAGGAGGAGAGGGAAAAGATGAGGCAGGAAATAAGGGACAAGGTAAGAGGACATCTAAATTTTCGTCACGCCATCTATTATCAGCAACTCGAATTACCATCGTTTCGTTTCTTTCATCGTTCGCAAATTGAACGGTGATGATGATGATGATGATGTTAATAAATAAATAAATGTTGGTCGCTTGTTAGCGCGATTTGCGTATCGGATCCGATGATTCACTTAATGAGACGTTATCGGATGTCCGGGTGAAACTGGATACAATTCAAACCGGCCGCATAAATCTGTTCTCCTCCTCCCCCGAAAACCAAACATTTACGGTTTTGCGGGTGGCGGAGGGTGAATTGCGAGGATTCACGTAGCGATCCGATAATTGCCATCGTCTCGTCCGCAGAATCGAATCATCCGGCTATTAATTGCGTTCCCAAAAACCGATTTACCAATTTCCAAATACACTGTTTCCAATTAGTTTTTCAAGTTTTTCTCAAAAACTGTAATAGTTTCATCAAAAAATAATTATTCAATCGAAAGACGAATCTGTGAGTAATCTAAATCTATGAATTTAAATTTGATAACTGTAGAATTTATTAAATGAAACGCTTTTAACTAGTTTTTAAAATTTGGATGTGGACGTGGATTTAGGACGTGTTTTAGGTTTATTTAACCTTCGTCGAAAGCTGCGATTGTTACTTTAAGCCTCGGAGCGTGTGATTCTTGTATCGCCGTCGGAGATTCGTTTCAATTGAGTCGTTTACAAATCGTTTACTCTTCGAGTTTGTTTGGCTTTCGTCCCGAACATTCGAACGTGTGTACATTTCTCGTGTAAACTTCTCCGATAGATGGAGCCATGACAAAAAAAAAATCGTAAAATCGAGAAGCGTATTCCGGACAAAAGGATGATAAAGGATAGATAAATAAGACTGAAATTGGGGTGGATAAAGGGAGAGTGATACACACTCATTATACGGCTGTAGGCGAGTCAAGAAGGCATTATACATTTGAAGGGCGAAGCTTCCCTCGGGATAACAGAGAAAGAACCGAAATTTCAACGTTTCTACAAAACGATTTCAATGCGATAAAAAAAGGAGTAAATAAATAAAACGCTCGAGGACGAGAAGATAGATTCCTGTTTGCTCAACGCTCGAAGCACTTTACTACCTATTACACTACCTACTATTGGGTTACGAGATTCGTTTCACGTAACGTTCATTTACATAGGCAACTTTGTGTGCGCGTCTTAATTGACAGATATCACGAATTATCAAAGAGAAACAATTGTATTTCTATTGTTAATTTTGGATTGCGAATAGTAAGGTAATTAGATTCTGCGCTCCAAAGAGTGCTGTGTTATGGAAATGACAATGGACGTAATGTGCCATTGTGGTTTTCGGCGTGAGCCAATGACGCTTGTTAATCCTGGATCAAGTGTGTATAATACGCGGGAATAATGGCGTGCTCTCCGGTCTTCCCGTTGAGTATGCAACCGTACCAATTCGCGTGTCCGCGATATAATGGTTATGCAAATATCACTGCATGGGGGGTGAAGGGAGGGTTGCTTTCCAGCTCAGGTAGTCGATGAGGGTGGGCACTTCACTAGGGAGGTAGAGAGAGAAAGAGGTGACAGCACTAATCCGGAGCTCAAGTATCGATCCAATTATCCCGTCTACACAATAAAAGCTATTTATAAACGTGCATAATATACAACACACAACTCACAACATCTAATGATCATTTGTATAGAAATGCATGTCAACAATTTGCTTCTTCTTTTTCTTCAGCTTGAATCATTGATGCCAAATGTAAGAAACGAAACAGTTTGGATGTGGCCTAATCTCAAAATAATTAATTTTTAATAATTTTAATGAACACAGATGGAGTCCTCATCGTTTCGGGGAAAATTCAAACCTACATTAGCCAGGAACCACCCTCGTTTCATTTCTCATAATTCATATTATTAAATTTAACCCCTCGACGCGTAAATATACATTTATCTCACAAAACAACAAGAAAGTACCATAATTTCCATAGAACACGCAAACAATTTTTTTTTTCCAGCAACCCTCAAAACGCGTAAATATATTAGTTTTTTTTATAAAAAATAACGTTACTTTTTATTAGTCTCATTTGTATCATTGGTTATTCTTTTGTTTGTTTTATGGATGTACCCAAATTAAGAGAGAATAAAATTTATGGTGGCAACACTGTAATGGTTTTACTAATCTTGCGAAAGTGCAAAATCGCATTTCAGATAATTAACATTTTCTGTAAAGGTCAGAAACTTCTTAGTCTACCCCTTTCTGTGTTCACACTTTATGTTTGCAAGGGCTCGAACTATATATAGAGACGGATACAACGGGGTTTGATTTTTTTTTTGCTTTCTTTACTATTCTTTGCATAGTTGGATATTCAAAGTGGCTCCGGTGGTGTGTGGGTGGCCTGAATCGATAGAGTAATTGGAGAGAGAACTCTGTCTCTCTCTCCCGCGCGCAGCACTGAGTGTAATCCACCTGGAATATCGTAATCCTCGTTAAACAAGGATCTCGGATTACAGGAGCAATAATCGTAAAAATTGTATTATATGCATATCTTAAAGCCGGTTTTAATGCAGCCCGCATTACACGTTATTGCGTTTAGGCAAATACAAGAGCATCCGCATTGCGGGGTTGCAGATGCGTACCGATTTTAATCAAGTTGCATAACATCAAATGTATTTAAACTTAAGTTACAGGCAACTTGTTAAACGTTAACGGTAATTGTAAAAACGAATGTAAACATGATGTGTTTGCGTAATATGTTTATCATCATCACTTGTAATGAAATTTGTCGACGGGAATTAACGTCAATTCACGTTATTACATAAAGTGTTGTTTAGTCTTGTATCGGTAGATGGAATCACCCTCGGTGTAAATGGCTTCATAACGTGCACGTAGCAATAAGTGTGTGTGTGTGGGAGGGGTTAGAAACAGGGGAATCCCCGGGGTGCGTGACCCTCGGGTCGGGGGTGGTGTGGTGGTGGCGTGATCCCGTGCCGCTCGTCCTCGAGACTCCTTATCTTATGCAACACGAAACTCGCATCGATCCGCCGTAAATTATTCCTAAAACAGCAGAAGAAGAAGAAGAAAAAAGGAAAATAAAAACAAATGCAATAAATTTAGGCCCTAACGAGGAATCAGAGTTGTCGGTTTCTTATCGCGCAGCAATGAATTATGTAACTCTAATTGGTATGCACGCACAGAACACGTAGCGCCACTTAATCAGAGACCTTCGCGCTGCAATTAATCTATGTTCGTTAATAACTGGCATTCATTAGCATTCAAATCAAAGATGACGTTTTATTTTGTATCGATAGATGGCGTTGTTTGCTAATTATTTCTGCGAGCGAGATGCAACCCTCGTTACGCGATTAATTAAATTAATGTTTGTACGTTGCCGTTGCCAACCCCAATTTGCGAGAAGCATTAATTTGCAGCTATGCAAACGGCGACGTCAGTCGCGGTATTTGCCAACCCCCCTTTCCCACCCCCTCGAAAAACCACCGCACGACTCAGTTTCAAATGGCTTCATTTAATCCGGAACCCCTTGAACCGACACGTGCATGCAAAGACCATCGCAAACTGCAAGAAAATCACTAAGAAGATTCATTTCTTCGAATACAATTAGCGCCATCTCAGTACAACCAATCAACTAAAATGGCGTTTCGTTAACCAAACAAATGTCATTTTACGTGAAGCATTAACTTGTCTTATAAGTTACCTACAATCATTACTTAATTACTAAACTCGACATATAAGTAACATATAGTCAAGTGAAGTGTGAAGAGGAGAAGAAGAAGTAACATATATTAGTAAATTAATTTATCAACAGATGTCGTATCTGCAAATTCATTTATTTATTTCAATTTGAACCAATCGCAACTGAAAAATACATAATCCACGAATACCAACCATAAACCCGCACAGCAATAAATAAATTCTCTATTAAAAAATAAACAAAATATTGAAATTAAATATTGCTCGCATGTCCGAATTTTGTTATTTCTATTTATATTGCCAATATAAACTGAATAATATTCAGCGAATTTCAGTAAATTTTCCGCAGTCCGAATAAATATTAGTGTTTTTTTTTTTATGGTTGTTGTTATTCAAAAACCGTTGTGTTACATTCGTTACTGGGTCGCACGAATTCGCAATTTCGGTTTTGCAATTGTAATTACTTTTATTCTCTCTCTCTCTGTGTTTGCTGTATGCTTTTATCTGCTGAATCGATCGCTTCAGGTTATAAATTTCGCGACCGAACGTTTGATAACGACGATGGCAGCAATCGCAATAACACTCCATTTCGAATATGAAACTTTCGAAAAATGTTGTATAATGTAGGCAATTCTAAATGCATCATTATTATATTTATATATTGTATTATTAAGTTTATATAAAGTTCATTGAGTTGCCTATAATTTAACTAATAAGAATCTTGTAAAATAAGTTGCATATAATTTATGTTTTAAACAATAGATGTCGTATAAGTAGAAACCGACTAAGAGTTAGATAGTTTTGTTATGTATTTCTTTCGATCTTTTTTTCCTTTGGATTTATGGTGTAAATTAGGTTCACCTGCGGTGAGACTGGAACTGCTGCCTGGAACGGCCCTTTTCGTGTGAGAAATGGATCATCGGGGAAACTTAATCGGGGTCAAATTGACTCTAGTAGGGAGTCCGTTACTTTATAGCGACTCCCTAACGGAGTCAGGTTGACTCCCTTTGAGGGAATACTCTATGCGACGTCGGATTCTATGGACCGAGGACGAAGATGACGACGCCGGACCGGATTAAGGACACTACTTCAATATTTTTTTTTTCTTTCTTTCTTTTCCATCTCTTATATTCTTTGTATCATCCACTCCGACGAAATTCAATTTGCGAAACGTGCCCAAACCAGTTAAATATAATAAACAGAAATCTGATCCACACACTTTATAAATCAATTAACTAACATTTTCATCTTTCAATTTCCGGTATTTAAAAAAAAACGCAACCAACTTAACAGACAAGTATGAAAAGTTAACTAATATTCAAGTGATTTGTTTTTTTTTACAATTTCCATCCAAATATTTGCGTTTCGAATGCAATTCAATTCATTCTCATTAGCAAAGTTCGAATTCTGATCGAAATATGATCCGCACACTTTATAAATCAATTAACTAACATTTTCATCTTTCAATTTCCGGTATTTAAAAAAACGGAACCATCTTAACAGACAAGTATGAAAGGTTAACTAAAATTCAAGTGTTTTGTTTTTTTTTTACAATTTCCATCCAAATATTTGCGTTTCGAATGCAATTCAATTCATTCTCATTAGCAAAGTTCGAACTCTGATCGAAATATGATCCGCACACTTTATAAATCAATTAACTAACATTTTCATCTTTCAATTTCCGGTATTAAAAAAAAACGCAACCAACTTAACAGACAAGTATGAAAGGTTAACTAATATTCAAGTGATTTGTTTTTTTTTTTACAATTCCCATCCAAATATTTGCGTTTCGAATGCAATTCAATTCATTCTGATTAGCAAAGTTGGAGATTATTCTAAAAGTCCCAACTTGTCGACACTTTACGAAAGTTCTGGCCGCCCTTAATCTTAAGTGCACGGACCATTCGATTAATTAACCTACTGCATTGGCGTTCTGCAGCTGCTGTAACCATAGAAACCACTCGCCTTAATTAACCGAACAAAGTTGTTTTGTGCTGTTGGTTAAACTGCAAATAAGTGCATTGTTCAAATACCAACCCTTAATTCATTTATTAATTAATGTATTTATTAATTATTAGTTCTCATTGTTTAAATAATTGTTATTGAATTACGTTGACAGCAAACGTAAATCAGGAATGTAAAAACAAAAAACGAACATTGATTTTGTGTTGCTAGTGTTTTTTTTTATTGAACAGTTGGCTGTAATCCAATATCGTTGGATTACTGATCCGAGGATGCATTTCAATTGATTTTCGATGAAGCGAAATAGAATTTACAACGAACAAACTAAAATACAAAAAAAATAATAGCAAGAGAACCACGAAACATTGAGAGAATTCAAGCGTACACATGCATCGGGTTATTCATGCACGTAAAAAGCATGTTGGCAACCGACGAGGAGATGCCAACTTAAATTGCGATACGATAAAAAAACAAAACTGATTGCAAAAGTAATAGAAGGATATCAATTTCGGATCGAGTATTCTGTGCCAAAAGTTACATTATGCAAGACTATTTGTATTTTTACTTAAAAGAATGGTTAATAAACGTCAAGTAGAAAAGTTGCCAACGTTGACGTTTAGTTGCTGTTAATTATACTGGATTATTTAGGTATATGGAGTTGCCTAGAGTAATTAAAGCAATTCGAAAACTTTATTCGCCCTTCGTCAACTCGAAACACGTAAATACGTTGTGTTCGGGTAAAGTTGTAATGATTTTCGATTTAATTTATCGCCGCTGCCTCTAACGTATTCCGAATGCGTCGAGTGTTGCAATTGTGAGCGGAATTTATATAGCGTACAACTTATATCTTTATATATATATACATATACACGAAGGGTCGTTTCCCAAGTTTCGAGACAAAGCCGCCCTTTCTACAAATTAATTGCCGGCAATTCCGGCTGTACGCCAACCAACAATACTGCTGCAGTGTGTAGTGGGTAGTAGTGTTTATTTGTAGCCAATTTAAAGTTTTCGTTTCGAATACGTTTCACCTATCCACCCAAAATTTATGAGGTGCGGTTTTCCATCCCTTAAAGCGCTTTAAATTTCTCTCCTTCTGTTTCTCTCTCAAACCTCAATCTACACTCGATTGCATCGAAATACGTATGCAAACGCACATACATTTCGAAGAGGATTATGCAACCGCAATTCGCATTAATCATACTCCATGCGGTTTCCCTCCTAGTTGTATACTTTATATGCATGTCAATTTGAAATATAATTTAAAGTTGCAACAAAAGCAGAATCAAAACAATCGGTTTCGGTCAATAAATTGATGGTGATATTTTTGCTTTACTAAATTTGTGTTGGTACTTCTTTTCAATTGGTAACTCGTTGTTACATTCGAAACATTCGAAAATACGTATGCAAACGCACATAGATTTCGAAGAGGATTATGCAACCGCAATTCGCATTAATCATACGCGATGCGGTTTCCTGCCACCCCTAGTTGTATACTTTATATGCACGTCAATTTGAAATATAATTTAAAGTTGCAACAAAAGCAGAATCGAAACAATCGGTTTCGGTCAATAAATTGATGGTGATATTTTTAGTTTACTAAATTTAAGTTGGTACTTCTTTTCAATTGGTAACTCGTTGCTACATTCGAAAATACGTATGCAAACGCACATACAATTCGAAGAGGATTATGCAACCGCAATTCGCATTAATCATACGCGATGCAGTTTCCCTCCTAGTTGTATACTTTATATGCACGTCAATTTGAAATATAATTTAAAGTTGCAACAAATGCAGAATCGAAACAATCGGTTTCGGTTTCAATAAATTGATGGTGATATTTTTGCTTTACTAAATTTGTGTTGGTACTTCTTTTCAATTGGTAACTCGTTGCTACATTCGAAACATTCGAAAATACTTATGCAAACGCACATACATTTCGAAGAGGATTATGCAACCGTAATTCGCATTAATCATACGCCATGCGTTTTCCCTCCTAGTTGTATACTTTATATGCACGTCAATTTGAAATATAATTTAAAGTTGCAACAAACGCAGAATCGAAACATTGTCAATATTGTCAATAAATTGATGGTGATATTTTTGGTTTACTAAATTTGTGTTGGTACTTATTCTTTTCAATTGGTAACTCGTTGCTATGGTATTTTTTATTTTTTTGTAGTTGTTATTTATATTTGACGTTTCTAATTGTGTGTGTTTTTTTTTTGTTGCGTCTGCTTGTTCCAGTACAATATTAAGAAGAAGGAGGAAGTTCAGGAGCAGCTGCAGGAGGAGCCGAATCCGCTGATGCGCAAGAAGAAGACGCCCGAGGAGCTCGCGGCGGAAGCGGAAGCCGAGGACGAGGACGACTTTACGAGTGAGTGTCTTGCGAAAGTGCAGAAATGCAAAGGTCTCTGCTCACTGCTCTAGGCTGCCAATATACGACCACCAAAAAAAAAAAACAACACAATCACTTATACCAACCAACGCAAAAAAAATAACTAACGAATTTAGATTTAGGTCTCCCTTCACTATTATTATTATTATTGTTTTTTTTTTGTAATCACGTAGCTTTATTTTGAGAGATTCTGGTTCTCTTATTATTATTATTATTATTTCGTAGCGATGCTTTTTTTTTCTCTCGTTTTCATATGTTTCCGTTTCGGTTTAATCGCTTCGTCGAGAGATGGCGGCGTCGAGATTTTGCAAGAATGTAGTGGTTCTTTTTTAATGGGCACTAAAACGCACCCATTCCGGGCCATTTGGGAGCACCGTTTAATGCGGGATTCCGGCTTCTGCAACGACACATCCGGCGTCGCCCGTTATTAATGCAAAATAGAAAATAAAACCCTATTGGATTCCTAAACGTTCTCCATCTCTTTCTCTCTAACGATTAGACCTAATGGAAATGCGATTGTCTTTGTCTTTTATTTCACGTAGTCTGGCGTTAAACCTTTATTAGAATCGTATTACGTAATGGGGTGCGGATTTCGTTTGTTTCTCACATACCTGGTGCATCCACCAAAAAAAAGTTAATGCTACCTTTTCACATCCACTTCAATTTTATTGCAAATTATTACTAATTATTGATTTAATATCACTTATAAACTGTAATTTTAATGAAATATCATAATAACGTAAATTTATACTAAAAATATTACGAATTCTTCAAATGTGACGTTTATCCGCACTCTGATTATTTTTTGTTTCGTTTTTGTTTTTTTTTTTTCGTAGCACTTTTGACTGTTGTAAATATTTACACGAAAGTTATTGAGACGTTTTGTCTCCATATATAGATGTTATAGCCCCCCCTTTTTCTCTCTTCCGAGTTGTTTTCTCTTTAGAAGGAGGAGAGAATGTTGATATTTCGCAAAGCCCCCTTTAATCAAAATAATGTTTGTTGAAACTTAGCGTGTTAGTGTGATGTTGTTGATCGTAGTAATAATTCGCACATCGACCAATTTTTTAAGATATACATATATATATATTTACAACCAAATTGTTGAGGTTTATCGATCCTAGCGTTTATTTTTTAGATAGATTTTTTGTATGTAACGAGAAAAGAAAGCAAAAAAAAAAAACAACCCTACTTTGTACTCAGATGTAACGAGTTTTGAAACCCCTGTTAAATATGTAAGAAACTATTCATTCACCGTTGCTTAGGAACACGCCACATTATTACCACACGTCTTGTCCACTCTTCTTCTGTTTCATTTTCATTTTTTCTATTATTTCACAGTTGGTACGTTTCTAAAATCAGATTCTTTCTAATTATTGAATTCATACTGAAATTCGATTTTGATATCTGCCAACAGATGGAAGCACTCTTCATTTAGTGTTTTTTTTTTATATTTATATATCGTTTAATTCCAAATCAATCAATTTCCGACGTATCGATTTTCCAAAACTAATATGCGGGAAAATGCGATACTTTCCTTTTTTCCATTAAATTAGATATACCCCAAAAAAAAAATAAACAGCACCCTCGGTCGAGTTTAATTCCACTAAAAGGAAGATTAATCACGTCCCTAATCCATCGGACGATGAGTGTCCGGTAACGAATAGGGGAGACTTGAAAAGCGCACGAAAAAAAATTAAAGAGAACCGAAAATCAAAGAGTTTTCAGCAACCCAATTACTTAATAATATTTTTTATATTTAAGTTTTTTTGTTAAAGCAATTTTGTAACATATTTTTATAAGGATTTTTTGTTAAATTAGTATTTTGTTTAAATTTAAATTTAGTTACGTTTCATTTGTTTTTTTTATCAGCATCTTTTGTTTTATAACATTTTGTTTTACTGTAGTTTTGTTTTACTTTTACATCATTATTATTATTATTTTGAAAATGTTATGTTCTTTTATTTTATTTATCCTTTTTGCTTTTCCTTTTTATTTGTTCTTTCTTTTATTTGTTTCACAGCTACTTTGATTTCCATTTTCGTTTAACTTCAACGCTTCATTTGTTTTTTTTTCAACATCTTTTGTTTTATAACATTTTGTTTTATTGTAGTTTTGTTTTACTTTTACATCATTATTATTATTATTATTATTTTGAAAATGTTATGTTCTTTTATTTTATTTATCCTTTTTGCTTTCCTTTTTATTTGTTCTTTCTTTTATTTGTTTCACAGCTACTTTGATTTCCATTTTCGTTTAACTTCAACGCTTCATTTGTTTGTTTTTTTTTCAGCATCTTTTGTTTTATAACATTTTGTTTTACTGTAGTTTTGTTTTACTTTTAAATCATTATTATTATTATTTTGAAAATGTTATGTTCTTTTATTTATCCTTTTTGCTTTTCCTTTTTATTTGTTCTTTCTTTTATTTGTTTCACAGCTACTTTGATTTCCATTTTCGTTTAACTTAATCTAAGCAGGTTGTGTACGGAACAAGAGAAGTTTTCCTCAAACTTTTTTTTTATTATTATTATTATCCTGCATTCTGTATTCAAATCGAATTACGTTTTTCTCTTTCATTACTTTTGCACTTTCCACGTTCTTTGTTTGTTTGTTTTTTTTTTTGTGTCTTGCCGGAAATGAAGTGAAAAGAAACATTCGGAAACTGCGATAGGAAAAGGGGAAGAAAAACTGTAAAAAAAAATAGTAAATAAATAACGCACAAAATGAGAACAGCACTCGTTTCTTGCACGATTTAAGCGTCTGCTGCAACTGATATTTTCCTTTTTCTGTTTTTCTTCTCTCTGCGTCCAATTCGTGCACTTTTCAATCGAGTTAACTTTCCGCGCGAATAAACACGGCACTTTAAATTCATTCCAAAAGGGATGCAAACCAGGATGAACGTGTTGCCATGAAATCTAATTATATTCAATACAAAAGTTGCCTATAGCAATGATGTGTAAATAAATAAAACAACGAATATTCAACGTTAACCCGTGTGGACGCACGCAGTGGGTAAAACATACCCATACTAAATGCCTTCTAAAATATTTTTTCCAAGAAATTCTACATTATAATTACATAAGATAGCATTGAAACTGATGTAATAGATAGTATGCGCGCGTCTTCATGTAATAAGAATGCGCACGCGTCCACAAGTGTTAATTGAGTTGCCTAAATTGTTTGTACTTGTAAACTGTTCCCTTTTACAATTTAGATTTCCAGCTTGTAGTTTGTGCGTGTAGCGTTGCGTAATCTTGGCCAATGTATATTTGCGAATGGATGCGTGTTTGTATCTCCCGTTTTCTTCTGTCTCTCTACTCTATTTTGTTTTTTTTTTCCCTTTCTTTTCTGATCTGTGTGTTTGTTTCACCTTGTCTTTTGCAGAGCTGAAGAATACGATAGAAACACAAGTAAACGAACTCAAGTCACAGATAGAGAGTAAATGTGTTATGCAGTGAACATGCAGGAGACACTTACAACAACAACAACAACAACAAAACAACAACAACCACCACCTACTACAACAATAACAACAACAAACCACAACCATTATATATATATACCGATAAGAGAAAGAAAAAAACAGTCACGTATTAGAAAGTAAAAATTATTATAGAAATATCTGCGGCAATAATCTGCGCGGCCTTGACTAAAAATGAGATTTAAAAAAAAAAAACAACTTCAACAACGCCCCTAGCAACCAAATAATTAAACTATAAGGAAGTCAGGTTATGTGTGTGTGAAAGCTTTCGTTTGTTTCTTCGCTCCAATCCCCATTTTCCGGGGTGGAACGAAGGAATAATTTTTGGGAAGGCTTTTATAAGGCGGGAAAAAAAAATGTAAGGTTTGAGAGTACGAGAGGAGGACGATCGAAAGGACGGATGGACGGACGGACGGAGAGAGGACATAGCATACCTGTGATCATAATTTGTTTTGTTGATGATGGAGAGGAGAAAAATGAAAGAAGGAAATCTTTTTGGAATCCCCGATTGGAATGTTGATTAATTGATGATGATGATGATGTTAAATGATGATGGTTATACAAAATGTTCGTCGCGCAGCTGACTGCCACATGTTTTGTTGTTTATGTTCGATTGTTTACATTAGTCGTTAGTCATGTGTTTTATTTGATTTTGTTTCCAACGATGATGATCATAGTTTTTCTTTTATTATTGATGGTTAAATGTTATCGATGATGATGTTGGAAAAAAAAAAAAAAAAAAAAAGAGACTGCGATAAACAAATGATGATGATGATGATGAGATTGTTTTCTAGCTTGTAAATGAAACAAATTGTTAAAGGATTATCCAGGTTTTATTGTTTTATTGTGTATAGATAATATATAGTTGATGATGATGATGATGAAAGGTGTGAAGATGAAGATGAAAACAAGAAAAAAACATGGGAGATGAAGAAGTTACCCTTTAAATGAGAATCAATTTAATTTTGTATGGATTTTTTAAGAAAAAGAAACTATAATTAAGTAAGACTTAAACCAAAAAAAAAAAAAACAAAAACAAATATTAAGAAGAAGCCAGAACAACTTTTTTTCCGAAATTGTCGATCTCGAACACAAATTCTCTTACAAATTGAATCTTTCCATATATCTCTCTCTATCTCTCTATATTCTCTCTATCTTTCACCTCTTTCTTCGATTGATCAATCAAAAAAAAAGAAGAAGTTTTTGAAGAAGAAAAAATACACAAACACATACACACACACACAATTGAAATACACGAAACACGATTTTCACTCTCTCTCTTCAAATTTTTTGTGTTTCTTCTCTATTGTCTATATTTCTGTATTATGTTTTCACCCCCTTTTTTTCTATCTCTAAATCTTTTAGGATAAATGTGTGTGAGTAGTCATCCAAATTCCTCAAAAATAATAATTATGAAACCAAAGAATTCGATGTTTTTTCTTTTGCTATTAACTATTTCGTTTCTCTTTCGCCCACTCAACTGTTTTTTTTCTCTCTCTTAAGCTTTAGTGTCGATGTTGTCCTCTAACGAAAAAAAAAAATAAATGAAGAAGAAAGAAAAGAAAAACGAAAAAAAAAAGAAGAGTAATGTTAATAATAAGTGCTTTCTCTCTATTTGCTTCTTTTCCTTGAAAAAAAATAATAATAATTAATAAATGGAGCCGCGTTGTTTGTTGTTCAATGTTGTTCTCTTCGGAAATGTCTCTGTGCGACCAAAATCAAGTGAAAACAATTGAAGATTAATTAAAGTAAATGAAGAAATAGTGAATTAATGATTAATGATTCAGTTTTGCATCCTAATTAACAACCCCCCCTCTTTATCGTGTCTATGTGTGTCAATTATACTTTGTAAACCTAACCTGAAAAAAAAAAACGGAAACAATAGAAGCGAAACAAAATAATGTCTATCTGTCTATCTCTTCTACTCTTAGTGAACGTGCGTGTAGTCTCTATCTTATCTCTTACTCTAGTCGCGACGGTAAAATAATGAAGACGATGGAGAATAAATAAATTCTATTAGCGTATCTTAGACTCGTGTGTATTGATAAATAAATAAATAAATAAATATAAATAGATTCGTAGGGCCTTAGGATTTCCCGATTCCCCCCCCCACGAAAGAAAATAAATTTATATGAATGAATGGTAAAAGCTAACAACAATAAAAGCGTTCGGTGTCGTTGCTCATCTTTGTCTTAAGATTTTTCCTCTGCACATTTGAGATTCGATGACGTGTGCGTGCGTTACGTGATTTTGGAATTTGGGTGATCTGTGAATCTTGAGAAAACAAAAAAAAAAACAAAAAAACAAAAAAAACTTTTTTTCCGTTTCTCTTATTGTTTTCCATCTATCTCTCTGTATCTTCTCGACACGAAACAAAGAAAAAACGCAGTTCGCAGTTGCCACGGTAACAAAGCAAACAAACAAAAATAAAGAACATCAACTACAATAACAACAACAACAAAGAAAACACGTATACATATACACACACATACAGGAGAATTTCTGTTCATCTACGAAACTGACATTACAAACAAACAAACAAACAAACAAAAAAAAACAAAGTTGTTGAATCACCTCGGAAACAAGTAAACAATGTGAAATGAAATGAAAATAATAAGCAATGTAGTTTATAGTGTGTGATATGATATGATATATATATATACATATATATTTACTATATATATAAATTTAAAAATGTATTGATTACTACTCGGGAAATTCGATCGAAAAATGAAACAAAAACAAAAGCATTTCATCAAGTTGAAAATTTATTTTTCGATCGAATTGGCTCAATTGATTTTTTTTTGTTTTTGGACAGTTGTTAAAATCGTTTTGTTATCAATATTTCTGTTGTTTTGTGAAATTTTGATGAAGAAGAAAAAAAAAGGAGTAATTTGACCGATTTTTTTAACAAAAATCAATGTTTTTGTAAGTTAAATCACATGGAGACAACGACACTACATATTTAAAAGTAATGAAAAGGATACAAGTAAATAAGGATATTTAAAAGCGAATAATCTGTAGCTGATGTACGCGTATGAAAATTTTTAAGGAAACTATATAGATCTAATTTTGTTGTGTTATTTTCACTCTTTCTATATTTCTTTATTTCCACTACTGACGCTTATTTTTCGTTTGTTTTTTCATCGCGGATTGCTTCGATTTTCCTCGTTGCTGTTATCCGGAAAATCAAATGCGATTCGTTTTCTCAGCTAGAAGTGAAAAATTCTTTAAAAAAAAACACACAAAAATTGTAATTTTACAAGTATATATATTAAAAGAAGAAAGAAAAAAATGAGCTAGTGATTTATATATATATTGTATGTACTTATAATAATCGCATGGAACATAAGAGAAACGTTGCTATACATTTTTGTTTCTGTTGTTAACATGTTTCGTTTGTTTCGACGATCCCGCATTCTGGGGTTTCGTCAATGTTATTGGATGATGATGATGATTGAAGTGATGAGGAAATTGCAACAACAACAACAACAAAAAAATAATAATGTAATGTTATAAAGGATTATTGTAACGCTAGGAAATATGTAATGGGTTTTAAAAGCGAATAAATTTATAATATTAATAATGATAATGATAATGATAATGATAATGATAATAATAATAATGGACGTCACGCAGAGAACCAAGATTTAAAGAAGAAGAAAAAAAAGTAATGATAACAATAAAATCCCCTAAAATTTGTGAAAAAAAAAAGATGTAATCCCCCCCAGCGAGATGATGGTAACTAAATATATTGTGTATTTGTAGATATTATTATGAATTGAATTCATTGAAAATTGTTGTTGACGAAAAAATAAACGAAAAAAATAAATGATGATGATGATTATATAAGAAAACCTAACCTCAAAACACTTCTCTTTATTGTCTCGTTGTGAACGCCTAGGGGAAATCTGGCCTGGCTGCCAACCGAAGAGGAATCACCAACCCCCCAAAACAAAAACAAACTGAATTGTTGTTTTTTTTTTGTTTTGTTTTGTTTAGTTACCAACTAAATATTTGCTGCGCTGTTCAATTTCTTCTTGCTCTTTCGTTGAAGATCTGACGTCTTTTGTTTAAGTTTAGTTTTCAATTTTTTTTTGTTTTTCCTCCGCCAACTCCTCTTACCAATGAATATTGGAATGAGAATAAGCGAATAATAATAATAATGCGATACGATGTGTATAATGATATATTTATATATTATTGATTATGATTATTGTACGGAGGAGGGATTTAGTGTGAGTTGATGATTATGATGATAATGATGATGATGATATACCCATGTTGTAGTTTCGCCAGAGTACCTCTAGTTATAGTTTTAAGGCTGTTCACGTTGTTATATAAATAAATAAGTGAAGAAATGAAATTTGACAAAAACACAAAAAAAAAAGAATATGAACATAATTGATAATGATTAATAAAAATAAATGAATAAAACAGTAAACATTATTTCTACCTAAGCCTTTCCTTTCTTTTTGATTATTTCTTGCAGAATAATTTATTAGATTATTAACTAATTATAGCTATTTCGTTATGTTTAATAAAGGTGAGGTGTTTTTTTGCGTGAAATTTAACTTTGTGGAAACCAGTCCAAGAGATGGAGCTTCAATCGTAGGTGTCATCAAGAGGTAAGACGTTTTCAATTTCATGAATTTTGAACACGAATTACAGCCAAACGGCTAAAACCACAGTAATATATCGATACTTACTAGATTCCCCAAACATTCAGTTTTCATATGCATCTTTTGGATTCATTCT